CTTTTTTCTTTTTTGCTTATGTGGTGCTAAGGAGTCGAACCCAGGGCCTCATGCATGCAAGGCAAGCACTCTACCACTGAGCCACCTTCCCAGCCCCTCTTTTTTTTTTGGGTCAGTCATGAGGCTTGAACTCTGGGCTTGGGCGCTGTCCTTACGGTCTTCAGCTCAAGGCAAGTGCTCTACCACTTGAGCCACAGTGCTACTTCTGGTTTTCTAGCGATTTATTGGAGATAAGAGTTTCATGGAAGCCGGCCACCGGTGGCTCATGCCTGTAATCCTAGCTACTCAGAAGGCTGAGATCTGAGGATCATGGTTCAAAGCCAGCCCAGGCAGGAAAAGTCCATGAAATTCTTATCTCCAATAAACCACCAAAAAACCGGAAGTGGTGCTGTAGCTCAAGTGGTAGAGTGCTAGCCTTGAGCTGTAGAGCTGAGGGACAGCACTCAGGCCCAGAGTTCAAGCCTCATGACTGACAAAAATAAATAAATAAATAATAGATTAATAAAAAGCACCTGTGGCTCATACCTGTAATCCTAGCTATTTAGGCAACTGAGATCTGAGATTTGTGGTTCAAAGCCAGCCCCGGCAGAAAAGTCTGTGACACTCTTATCTCTAACCCCCAGGAAACTGGAAGCAGCACTGTGGCTCAAAGTGGTAAGCACTACACTTGAGCTGAAGAGCTCAGGGACGGTGCCTAGGACCTGAGTTCAAGCCCCACCACTGACCAAAAACAAAACAAAACAAAAAACCCTGTAATCTATTTTGAGGAATTACAATTCAAGACTGGGTAAAATGAAAGGTTTCCTTGAAAAATAAGACTAAGACAAAAATGGCTGTTGGGAACTGCTCATGTGCCTAGAAAACTAAAGTTCCTGAGTTAATTCATACTTTTATTGTGAAAATAGTATCAAATGTAAACAAATTTACAATTACACAGAAGTAATATTGTGTATCTGTTGAGATATGATAGATTGTGCTGCAGTAACAAGCACAAAAGCTCAATGTACTAGCACAATGAACCTGTCTTTGGTCTGGCCATACTGGAGTTTGAACTTGGAGCCTTGTACATGCCAGACAGTCACTCTACCACTTGAGACCCAGCTTGAGCCTGAGCCTAGATTCTAGGTTACATATGTGTATCTGGGTCTGGGCATTGCAGAGCAGTGGTACAGCGTACCACTGACATTCAGCAAACCTTGGGCCAGGATGAGTTTCCTTAAGGGATCATTTCAAACCTGAGCCACTTAATGCAGCATACACTTCTTGTGAATGTTCACTCTTCGTGCAGGCCTGTACCAGCTCACGTTGGGTGTGATCCTCCTAAAGGAATGCCACCCACCAATCACCCCCTACCACAGATCAGCAAGAATGGCTGAGCGCAGGGTGGGAGTGGGGGACTCCTACAGAGGCCTGACCGGGCTCACACTCCACAGGCCCTCACATGTCCTGGCCCAAAGGAAGCCAAATGGCCACAAAGTGAAATGTCACCCTCTATGCTCCCATGCTTGTTAACAGGGGATCTCCTGCCCCACTTGTCCGAGGAAGAGGTCTCCCAAGTTTCACTGGGTTTTCGGGACAAGTCTACAGTTTTGCAGGAGAAAGGGGAATGGTCCAGGAGAGGCAGTGACCTAAGGCCACCACCGGAGGAGCCTGTCCTTAGTGCTGCCACAAACTCCCCTTCCTCCTCCCAAGCTGGGAGCTCTGCGGGATGTTTCCTCCCAGGACCACCCGTGTTGCTGTTTACTAACCGCCCTCCCCCCCCCC